GAAAGAAAGTAACTGATGAAATTAATAGATGGAAATCTCGAAAAGAAATTATCTCCACGACTGCCTTCGCGTAGATACCAAGTGTTGAAACATGAAACCTAAATTTGTCGATAGATGGCTCCAAGCAAAGGACATAGGTGGCTCAACTGGAGTACTACAAAGACATGTCCCAACGCAATAATACTTTGTATAGCAAAGCATATGTCGAATAAAGCAGATACGTTGAAAGTGTTCTTTCTTTTCATGAACGATAAGAAAGCTCTTTTTGCATTGTGTCTTGATTGGGGAAAAAAGTGAATTCGTTTTGAGAATTCGAAGCGTAAAAATTCATGGATAGATCCAAGGGTATGTACCATCCACAACGACGGTGAACTTCATCGTTTGGATAGACGGTCGATATTCTGTATCTGACGGGATCAGAAGAATTTCATCTTTTATTACTTGTTAAAGCCAAACACTATCAACAATAACTAATTGATTTGAACTCCTAACTGCTCAAAAAACGTATCATAAGGTCATTTTTTACATCACATCCTCTCATCTATCTACTGGAAAGATTCAACTGTGAAATGATAGCACCTGTCATTTACTTATCAAACGGAAGCCCTTCTGATTACTACTTGATTGCATTCCTTTAGTTCTCAAGAAATGTGCGAAAATGGCTCACTGACTGATTTACCTTAACAAAGCAACAGCGTTTTTGGGCAAGGCATCCAGAATTTATCAGGCAAGTGGGAAAAATGCTTAGGCAGCGGCAAGCAATACTTCAAATCAAATAACTTTTACCATTTGCATGCAATAAGGCTTTATTTTCCATACAAAGATTCTGATTTTCCGGATTAAATTCAAAGTTCAGCAAAGTTGATGGCTATAGTTATCGCAGAACTAAATCTTAAATTTTAAAGCTTTTAAATTAAAGTTTCAAATAAGTTGATTTTTAAGTTGCTGATTTTTATCCAACCTTTAGAAAAATTACAATCCGTATGTTCGACGCAAAAACACAGGAGGGGGTAGGCAGACAGACGGCCAGAGAAGCTTAAACGATTCCGGAAGTGATTCTGAATAATGAAAGGTGAGTCCATCTCAGTTCTCACTCGCATCTGTGTACCACCAGCGACATCAATAAAAAGCCGCCCTAGTCGCAAAGCTAGCCGAGTAGTTAAGAATCGCGACTTTTTTTAAAATGTTCTACGGAAGCCTGAAAAATGTAACAATCCCATAGATTTGAAATGTATAACATAGGATATATACAATCGCTCTATCTTATAATAAAATATTGTAAACAAACTAATGCTCAATTTAAACGATCTCTCCTTACTTCTTGCTCATCAAAATATTATTTTTCAATTTATAACTTTACTCAAAACTAAATCTTACTTCTGTTTACAGGCATTCAACAAAATTAGCATAGTTTTAACTAGATTTTATTCATTCAAAAGAGAACAAAAAAGAATTATTGTTTATTTTTATTTTGCAGGGGTTTTGGCAAACAAGGTTTTCAATGTCAAGGTAAATAAAGAAACTTGGCACTCGCAATCAACGCTCCAGCTACGGGAGACAACATTTGGTGGAAAGACATCTTGTCAACAAAAATTTTCCTGCTTTTTTTAAATAATAAAAATATAAACTTTTTCTTTCTTTCGTTTTTCCTTTTTCTATTATTCTATGACAGTGTGTTCTTATGTGGTTCATAAACGTTGTCATGAGTACGTTACATTTAAATGTCCAGGCAAAGACAAAGGAATCGATTCCGTAAGTTTTTTTATTAAACACATAAACAATTTTATTCTTTTTTGGAGAGTGTTTTTTTTTTAATAGAATGTTATTATTTAAATTTAGAATAAGGAAACTAAAGATTAAAGATAAAAAATAGCAAAAGTAAGTTTGAAAATTTTTCTGCTTTGTTTTACTTTACGGGAACGTAGTTCACAAAAATCGTGTTTAAAAAAAAAAAAAAAACATAAGTAAAAAAACTATATTCGCCTATGGCCGAATCTTCTACATCCAAAACTTTGATATTGAAAGAGAACATAAGAGCGTTTATTGTTGCAATTTATGAGTAATGAGCAAAATACTCATTTTTTTTTTTTTCCTTTTGAAAGGAATGTTCATACATATCCCTGTACTGTGAGCACATCCTCTGACCGCTTTAGTACGTTTTCAATATCGATCTGCTTGCAACTGCAATATTCATGTCGAATTGGAAGCCGATGTGTTCATTTTTGAGTTCAGAAGGACGTTTACTACAAGAAAATAAACCAACGTACACGAAAACGAACGTGCGGGCAGACAAATATGCCTAGATAGATTCAAAAGTGCTGTACTGTATAATATTACGTGGGTGTAGTCGATTTTTCCTATTTTCCATAAATCTGCAAATTATTATCGTCATATCTGTTGTGAATTCAAAGTAAAGAGCAAAAAGAAAATGAAGTGTTCTCACTTAATATTGCACTATGGGCATGCCACTTGCAAATTTGGATAATTTTCAATATCAATCTACGCGCAAGAACTTCTTCCAAATTTGAAGCCGTTGTCTCCATTCTTACGAACACGAAAGTATTTTACAAAGACATTACAAAGACGAACAGACAGGCAGGCACGCTTATATATACTTTATAGAGTGATCCTTAGACGTGGATATAAAAAACAATCTTTTTTAGATCATACAAAAGCAATAGCAGCTAAGAAGGCAAATATAATAAAATACAGGGAAGAGAAAATGAATTTTTTTAATATAAATTTTCTTTAACAGAACACACAGATTCAAAAAATTCATATGTGGTATAGATTTATGTAAAAAAAAAGAAAAACAGTTAGTTTTGCCTAAAATTACCTGCGCAGGGCAAACTTTTATAGCATGATATATAGTAATAGAGTTTTCACATTTTTCTGTTTACATTTGGATTACATTTGTATTTTATAGCAATTTGCGAAACGTCTAACTAGACATTCATTTTTATGCTTCTTTCTACAATAATAACAATAATAACACCATTTATATAATTGGTTATGATTTGTTTGTTTACTTGCTCGTTTTCTTTTTTATTTTTTGATTTCAAACTTTTTTTTGGATTTTATCTAAATATAAATATATAAAAAAAATACAAATCTCATTAAATTAAAAAAAAAACGAAAAAAAAATATAAAAAAAATATAAAAAAACAAAACCCTATACGTTCATATATAACGACCTTCGAAAACAACAAAAATAAAACATGTCAATAATATGATTATTTTATAAATGAAAAACGCGCGTCAATGTATCAACAACTACTACCACGAACTCAAATTCAATTGTATTGAATTGAAAACTTTACTCACAAAATAAATTTAAAAAAACACATAAAAAAAAAATAATAAAATACATTGAAAGGATTCACCCAAAACCGTACATCATTTTGAACCATTCACATACGCAGGACCAACTTTCTGCGATCATTGTGGTTCGCTACTCTATGGCATTTATCACCAAGGTCTAAAATGCTCAGGTAAAGTTCATAACAAAACTTTTTTGCCATCAAAAACTACTACACAACAACAAAATCTATTCTAAACTTCTACAATACTTCCCATCGTCTGCTTTACTAACTACGTTACTAACTAAAATCCCCTTTTGAACTTAACCTGTAAATGTTTTAACACATTGTCTCTCTATCTCAAGCGTTGTCAAAAATTTCCTTTTTCTCTAACCGAACTTTGGTTTTTTTTTTTTTTGGAAAATGCAAAATGAATGACTGAAAAAATGTATGAAATGAATGTATGAACAATTTTAAAAAAATTAGTTTTTACTTCGCTCTCTGTACAATGTTTTTTAATTAACGTATTGTTATTATTATTTTTTCTTAGATAATTTTCTAGAGTATTTTGCATAAGTGCGCTTAAATTCCCGAGAGTTATTTGTATTCACCTAATTTGTATAATTAATGTGCTTACGAAGGCATTCATTTTCACCTCTCTGTTGTACATACATGTATGTGAGTTACCAGCTTTTTCTTCTTCTTCTTCTTCGTCTTCTACTTCTCTTTCTATCTCTCTACGTACTGTGCAACAATGTTTTTATACTTATAGATAATGCAAATGTGTCGTTTGTGTTTGCTTGCGGAGTAGATATACGTATGTATGCATGTATGTGTGTATGTTGGCACCTTGTTCTGCTTACATAGCACGAGCAAACATACTTACGAGGTATTGCCAGCAAGTAATAAGCTGTAAAAATTTTCATATAATTTTAAAGCGAAAGGTTTTCTGAGAATTTTTAGAGTACATTTCCTGCTAATTTTTTGCATTCTAATTGCAATACTCGAGATACGCATCACAATGTTTTGTACTGTATAAAAAAAAGAAAAGAAAACATATGTACAAAATACAGGAAAAAAAAATCGACTTTTTATAAGCATAAAATTTTTAATTGATTCATGCCCGGATCGTTATTTTATGCTTTTACGTTTAATTACCTTTTTTGTGGGATCTATAGCTGCCGATACCAAGTGAACTCAATCGAAATTTGAATAATTTACTCGACAGCAAATTTACGATCGAGATCTTCTTTTAATTTCTGGGAAATCAAAATTCTTTATAGACTCATGAGTGGTTTCACTTATGACAAAGTTTATTTAAAAATGATTCGTGCTATACCATGTGATGTTTGTGATGTTTGCAATGCTGTTGAATGT